AGACATATTAGACAGCATAGCTATAGGTCTTTAATATATGGTGATGTTTTGTTTTCTTCAGGAACCTTTAGATTTTAGTAGCACAAAATAAATAGACTTGTGACTTGAGTCATGAAGCATTCGTCTTGACTTTATTAGAGTGCTCTAGAACTGAGATCACATATCCTAGATTTTTGAATCTTGATTAGAACACAGCTTTGGATTCTGATCATAGCTTCTCTGACTGTGATTTAAATGACCCTGACTGTGATTTCAACATGATTCCATTATTGAACCTCTCATTGCCTGAAACTATGCCTGAAACCAAATTTCTCATCCCTCCCATTGCTTTTTTATCTGTTACTATTGTTCTGCCCTTTTTTCCTGGCACACTGATGCTATCCTCTAGTTTAGTGGTTGCTTACCAAATTAATTTACCTAGAAAACTTGGTGTTATCTGTGCATCCTGTTACCTTATTCTACAGATATCTGTTGTCCAATCTGAGTCTCTTTTCCTTCTTCTCCTTTATCACTTTGCTTACACTATTTCATTACTCCTTACCTGGGCTATTGAATTATCCTCTTAACTGACCTTCCCATTTTCTAATATCCTTTACCATTTGATCTATCTTCTACTCTTCCACCAGAAGTCTTTCTTAAACAAACCTTTGATTATATAGTTTTTCTAGTCATTAAGTTTTTGGACCCTTTACCAGTGCCTGTATAATAGTGCCCAAATTCCTAGCTTAAGATTTGAAACCCTGTTATTCCCTCATGACAAAGCTGCATTCCTTACTTGGAAAAATTAAACTAACAGAGATGAGCAGTCTTGTAAAAAATGAGAATAGAAAAATGATTTGGAAAGCTCTGTAGGTGAAAACAACATGTAACTTGTATTAGACCCTTCCTTGAAGTTTTCTGATAATTTTTAGTTTAACTCCATTTGAAAATTAAGCTGAATTATATTTTCCAGCGTACCTTTTTTGTGTAAAGAATAATATAGGATTTAATTCTGCTTGTCTTCATGCTTTGGCTGGAGAAGAAAGTGAAGTATTATAAACCTTATCATAGCTATAAGAGGAATGCAAAGGAGAAAACCACAAGGAAGAGGAAGAGTTAGTCCTACTTGAACAGCCACTGTATCACCTACCCTTAAGAATTTATCACTGTTCATCTCTTAAAAGACTTGGGATTTTAATTAATTAAGAGAGCTGTTACTTGACAACGCCAAAATACCACTCTACCATCATCTTACTCTATTTATCTTAACTATTTGGTATTCCCTTTATTCGTCCACTTACATGCCCCTCTTTAGTTGTTCCTTCTGCCTGGAACAAGTTTCACCCTTATTTCTGTATATCTTTAAAGACTGGGCTCAGGTGTCACCTCTAAAGAATAACACCCTGACATCCTCCTCCCTTGGTCTCTAAGGAAAAGTAATCTGTTTCACCTCTGAATCTCCTTAACACTTTTTCTTTGCCTCTTTTATGGCACTTTTCTCTTTCTTCCTTGTGTTAGGCATTACTACTCTTCTGAGGTCTGCTGGATTATTGTGAAGAGTTTGGGATTGCATTAAAATGGATCTTTGAAGATACACAGCTGCTTAACTAGCGTCTTGCAGGGGTGTGCTGTTCATATTGGCTTAGACAGCTGATACTACCTTCTGCTTAAGTTTCAGACCTAGGAAGAAGTTTCTTTGGTCAGGAAGTTCCTGGAAAGGTTGAATAATGCTTTTATGGGTTAGCTGACAATTGAATTACTCCTCTCTGAGTTCCAGTGTTAGTATTTATGGTTAAAAGATGTCTAAACTGCTATCCTTGGACTTGCTGCTAGGACCTAGACCTCCCTGTGGGCAAATGTGCTCAGAGCTCACAGCTCACTCCTTTTGAACAGACTTTCCCTGGGGAGAAATAGGTAAATTATGTCTCCAAACTCTGTGGGTTATTGACTACAGTTACTCCTACCCCAAAGAGACTTTCACTTAACCTATTCTCTAATTCATCATTCACCTCCATAATTGCTCTGTAATTAAATCTAATAACTTTTTGCCTGGCAAGAGGATGTCCCCTAAATAATGTACTTGGGAACCCGCTTCTTAATTCTGTGTCCCATAACTTATTAGAGATTTATACCAATGCCTGGACCCTATTTGAACTGCAGAGATTCAAGAGGGCTAATGGTGTCATCCTACTTAGTTTCTTAAGAGAATAGCTCTATAAATCTAGACATCATACAGCCAACAAGTTTATAAAACTGCTTCAAAAATAAACAAATGAATAAATGAATGAATGAAGTGATGCAAATCTTGTCGAGGTAGTTTGCATTGATTGTCTAGAAATCAACTCGTAACACATGGCTTAACTCTGTGACCATAACTTTTGACATCTCTTGTAATGTTTGTGCATTTAGATTTGAAGACTGATTCCCAAGTCTGACTTTAATCACCCTTCTACCAACTATTAATAATCACTGGGACTCCTAGCCTGTCTTGTCCTCTGCTGTCTTCAGTATTGTTTTATGTGATCTTATTGGAGTGTGTATTTATCTGGTTCTATGCCAGGAATTAATGAGATGATTCTGGAACTGAGCTGAAAAGCTATAATTTGACCTGTACCTCTCAATTCTAAACAGCTAACTGAATGTATGATGTACTGCAATTATTAGAATACACTGGATCAAGGTAGAAGACTATGGAGCAGTGCTGTGGGTCTTTTCTGAAAAGGAGAAATCCTTATCTTTGTTTTGAATATGAATCAAGGAAGAGACTTTGGTAGAGTACACAGATTTTTCTGTTTGAATATTGCTCTGGGTGGTATTGTTACTCTTCTTTCCCACTTTCTCCCACTCCACGTGTAGACAAGGAATACTCAAATACAAAGAATGATTGAGGATTGGCAGGGTGATGAGTTTATTGGGTGGTATTATTTGCATATCGTCTTTTTTTGTAACATCATCAACAAATTATTATTATTGCTGGCTTGAGAAAAAAATATAGAATCTAAAGGCTAGATGTTACCTCAGAAGTCCTTTATTCTGAATCTCTAATTTTACAGATGGAGAAACACACACAAAGATACAATTAGAATTGTTTTGTGGAAAGAGCATATACGTTAGAGTCAAAGAAATTGGAAGTTGAATTATTAGCTCTGCCACTGTGAATTTTAGCTGTATGAATTTGGGGACATTATTTAGCCTCTTGAAGCTTTAGTTTTCTTATCTGTAAAACAGAAATAACAATAGAGTTGTTCAGATGACTAAAAGAGATGACGTATGTAAAGTACCTAACACAATGGATGATGTATAATAAATATTTAAAATAATGCTGTTATAATTTTTGTTAATATCATTAAAGAAGTTTTAATGAATTGATTGCCAACTGGTGTTACATGCCTTCTCTTTGTCGTGCAGAATTTTTTTCTCCCATGAGGATAGAACAAACTAGATTTCTAGAAAAAGGCCCAAGGAGAGCCTTGGAGCAGAAGTTAGTGAAAGGAAAAGAGTCCATTCACTCAAAATTGGGGAGCAGAAAAGATCTGTTCTCTAGAAAAATGAGAACCTAACGAGAAGATCATTCATTTATTCCACAAACATCTGTTGAACACCTTGTATCAGGCACTGTGCCTTATTCACTGTGAATGTAGAGGTAGGTCTCAGAGCCCCCAAAGGAATTCACAAATCAGTGAGGGAAAAAAATCTGTAAGCAGTGAAATTTTAATACACTATGGGTAAATGTTATAATAGAGACATGCACAAAAACCTCTTAGATCACAGAAAAACAGATCTTCTTTGAGTAATGGGGTGTGGAAGTGCAGAAAAGATGAAGAAGTTGGGGAAGAGCTTACTGAGAACCTAGCCTACACTAAAAAATATTGAGTGAAAAATAGAGAATCTAGATTTGTCCCTGGGCCTGTGGCAAAGGGCTCACATCAGGAGTTGACTAACAGAAGAAAACAGGCTTGTAAATATCTAAGAAAGGAAGGTAACATTCATGGTGTACTCAGTATATTCATGGCACTGAGCCAGAGCTTTCAAATATTTAATCTTTTTTTTTTTTTGGTGAGGAAGATTAGCCCTGAGCTAACATCTGTTGCCAATCCTCCTCTTTTTGCTGAGAAAGACTGGCTCTGGGCTAACATCTGTTCCCATCTTCCTCTACTTTATATGGGATGCCTGCTACAGCATGGCTTGACAAGTGGTGTGTCGGTCCACGCCCAGGATCCGAACCTGTGAACCCTTGGCCACCTGAAGCGGAGCGCGTGCACTTAACCACTACACCACTGGGCCAGACCCCATCAAATATTTAATCTTAAATTGCATTTTATGTATCACATTGGTGTACTATGATTGCCTACCTGTATTTCATTTCTTCATAAGAGCCCTAAAACCTATAATAAATATTTCAGTTATAGGAAATGACTGAGTTAATGGGTAATCAATATTGGTGAAGAGAGGGAACAGAAAATAGTGAAAAACTTTATATTTTAGGCCAGTGATTCTCAGTGAGGTCCCTGGATCCAGCAACATCAGCATCACCTAATAACTTGTTAGAAATCCAAATTATCTGGCCCTACCCCAGACCTACTGAATCAGAAATCCTGGAGGTGGGCCTAGAAATCTGTTGTAAGAAGTCCTCCAGGTGATATTAATAACCTGCTTTATGCCAGGGTTCAGCAAACTATTGCCTGTGGATCTAATGTGGTCTGTAACCTGTTTTTGTAAATAAAATTATATTGGAACACAGTCATACTTATTTGTTTATTACTATGGCTGCTTTTGTGTTCCAGTGGCACAGTCGAGTAGTTGCAATAGAGACCTTGTGGCCCACAAAGCCAAAAGTATTTACTATTTGTTTCTTTACAGAAGAAGTTTGCTGACTCCTGCTCTAGGCCTTAGGCATTAGATAGATGTCTAAACTCTGAATGTATAAGCAGATATTTGCTAATTGAATGGAAGACCATGAAGAAAAAAGAGGAAATTCCCCATGGTTTTAAAATTCTTAACCTGTTATCTTTCCCTTTTAGTCAAGGATGCTATCTAAATGGGCCTTTTAGTTCAAATCTACTGACAATCCCGAAGCAAAGGTCATCTTCTGTATCGCTAACTCACCATATAGGTCTAAGAAGAGCGGGTAAGAAATCATTCTTTATGATTTAAATATGGGAGGTCTCAAAGTATATAGTAGTGAAAATTTTTTTCATTACACATTTAGAGCTAATTTTGAATACTATTTCATGTGTTGTAAGCTAACATGACTAAGCAATTTGGGTTGGCTGTTAATTGACTATTTGCTCATTCATTGAGTAAACACTTTTTGAACATCTACTATGTACCAGGCACTTTGTTAGGCACTAGGGATTCAGGGATAAAATATAGAACTATTTAACTAATCTGAATAGTTGCAGATCCAGATTCATATATCCAGAACAAGGGGAAATCCTCAGAAAAGGGTATTCTGTAGCATGGTAATTGTGGAGAAAATATTATCTCTACTCTAGAAAAATATTATTTTCTACTCTCTTAATAAGAGAGTAGAAAAACCCTGGCTATATCCTAGTAAGTCATTCATAGGATTTATTTGTTTATGGTATAATTGACATATAGCATTATATTAGTTTCAGGTGTACAACATAATGATTCAATATTTGTATATAATGCAAAACGATCACCACAATAAGTCTAGTTAATATCTGTCACTATACATAGTTAAAATTTTTTTTCTTGTGATGAGAACTTTTAAGATCTACTCTCTTAGCAACTTTCAAATATGCAATACAGTGTTATTAACTATAGTCACCATGTTGTACATTACATCCCCATGACTTATTTGTTTTATAACTAGAAGTTTGTACCTTTTGACTCCTTTCACCCATTTCGCCCACCCCCCACTAATAGGAATTTTCTTTAACTCAAAAGATTATAGAACACTTTAAAACTTTTTGGATGAAAGATGTTTTATAGATACAACATAGTAATAACAGAGCAACATTGATGTTCTGCTTTTAAATTACATTATGTCTGGTGTTAGACAGGGGCAATGGGATATACATACAATCACAAAATTCTTTTACACACAATGTTTAGCATAAAATAGAAAACTATAAAACATGTGAAGAGGCAGGAAAATGTTACTGATAAGCAAGAAAAGCAGACACTAGAGGGAGATGTACATATGATATTGATGTTGGTTTTAACAAAGTCTTTAAAATAACAGTGATGTTTTAAAGAAATAGAAGGAAAGATGGATAACAATAGATAGATAATACTAACAGAGAACTGGCACACATAGAAAAGAAAAAGTGAACAGTCTAGAAGTGAGAAATGCAGTTGATTAAATTAAAAGCTTATAAGATGGTTTAAGAACAGATTGGACACAACAGAAAACAAGAGTAGTGAACTTGAAGCCACACAAATAGAAAATATCCAAACTGAAACCCAGAGAGGGAAAAAACATACAAATAAGAGAAGACTTTTGGTTTCCAATTCTGCATGGAAGGAGCTTGGAAGTCATCATTCCATCCTAATAACAAGTAAAGTGTTGAGCAGACTGAAAAATCAACAACTGTTCTAGGATCTGCAGGGGAGATAAGGACACAGAGCAAACTGCTGCCCCCAAAATTGGGGAGACAAATAGACTACTAATGGCTTACTCGGGCCGAGACTCACAAGGGGAAGTTCAGTGAGAACCAGTGCCTGGAATCAGTGCCACAGTAGGAAAGCCTGAACTGTAACTGGAAAGTTGCTGGAGGATCAGTGGGGACAACTCTGAGAATTAAAAACTCCAGGGGGACCTAGTCATAGGGGTGCGCCACAATTTTGTGAGCTTCACCTCCAGGAGCTGGACCAGATTTCCACAGTAAATATTAGAGAAATGCTTCTGTCAGGGGGAGGGGAAAGGAACCTTTTTGAAATATAACAGAGCACCTTATTCTTCTTAACAAGATCTGCCCTTAGGAGAAACTAGTTAACCAGAGCCTAACCTGCTGGGGTATTATCAGGACCTAACTGACCTGGGGGAAGGGAAATACCCAACTCCAGTCAGCTCTAGCTGTCCGCTTCCACCAAAGTGGGGAGGCAAAAAACACCTGAGAAATACTTGTGATGTTCACAGTCCAGAGACCTGGCCCACAAAAGACAGACCTAATCATAGGACTATACAACACTTCTCCTCCCCCACACCCCACCACCACATTACTAAAGCCCTGTTTATAGCAGTTCCTTTTACAGGTACATCATGTCTGGCTCTCAAGATAAATGACAAGGCACACCAAAAGGCAAAAAACAAAATTTAGAGAGATAGAGCAAACCATCGGAACCAGAGATGGCAGGGATTTCAGAATTATCAGACTGGGAATTTAAAACCACTATGATTAATATTCCAAGGGCTCTAATAGATAAAGTAGACAACATGAAAGAACAGATGGGCAGTGTAAGCAGAGAGATGGAAATCCTAAAAAAAACAAAAATAAATGGTAGAGATCAAAAACACTAACAGAAATGAAGAATGCCTTTGCCAGGCTTATGAGTGGGCTGGACACAGCTGAGGAAAGAATCTCTGAGCTTGAGGATATGTCAAAAGAAACGTTCAAAACTGAAAAATAAAGAGAGCAAAGACTGAAAAACCAAAACAGAATATCCAAGGACTGTGGAACAGCTACAAAGGAATACCAGAAGGAGAAGAAAGAGAGAAAGGAATGGAAGAAATATTTGAGACAATAATGACTGAGAATTTCCTCAGATTAATGTCAGACACCAAACCAGGAAGCTCAGAGAACATCAAACAGGATAAATGCCAAAAAAACAATACCTAGGCATATCATTTTCAAATTATAGAAAAGCAAAGATAAAAAATCCTTAAAGAAGCCAGAGGGGAAAAAACACCTTACCTATAGAGGAACAAAGGTAAGAATTACATCCAACTTTTTGGAAATCAGGCAAGCAAGAACAGAGTGGAGTGAAATATTTAAAGTACTGAGGGACAAAACCTCACTAATCTAGAATTATGTACCTTGTGAAATTATCCTTCAAAACAGAAGGAGAAATAAAGACTTTTTTCAGACAAACAAAAATTGAGGGAACTTGGGGCCGGTGGTGTAGTGGTTAAGTTTGCGCACTCCATTTCGGCAGCCTGGGCTTCACAGCTTTGGATCCTGGGTGTGGACCTGCACTGCTCATCAAACCATGCTGTGGCAGCATTCCACATACAAAAATGTAGAGGAAGATTGGCACAGATGTTAGCTCAGGGACGATCTTCCTCAAGCAAAAAGAGGAGGATTGGCAATAGATGTTAGCTCAGGGCCAATCTTCCTCACCAAAAAAAAGAAAAATGGAGGGAACTTGTTTCCAGTAGATTTGACTTGCAAGAAATGTTACAAGAGTTTTTTAAAGAGAAGGAAAGTAATATAGGTCAGAAAATCAGATCTACATAAAGAAAGAAAGAACATTGAAGAAGGAATAAGTGAAGGTAAAATAAAAACTTTAATTTTTCTTATTTTTATTTGATCTAACAGATCAAATAATAAGAGTTTGTTCATAATAATAACAGCAACAATGTGTTCGATTTTTTGTGCTTATATATATATATTTTATGTATATATATGTTTATGCTTATGTGTAAGTGAAATGAATGAGAGCAATGATACAAGGGATGGAGGAATTAGGATTATTTTGTTATTATAAGGTACTCACACTATCTATGAAGTAGAATAGTGTTATTTGAATGTGGACGTGGGTTAGTTGTAAATGTATATTGCCAATTTTAGGACAACCACTAAAAAAGTAGAAAAAGAAGTATAACGGATATTCTAAGAAAAGAGAAAAAGTAGAATTATATAAAATGTTCAATTAAAACCACAAGAAGCAGAAGAGCAGTGGAAGACAAAAATAGGAACAGATAAGGGCAACAAATAGAAAACTGTAAAAGATATGTAGATATTAATCCAACTATATCAGTAATCACTTTGAACATCAGTGGTCTAAGTGCACCAATTAAAAGACAAAGATTGTTAGAGTGGATCAAAAAGTGATACCCAACTATATCTTGTCTACCAGAAACTCACTTTAAATATAAAGGCATGTGAAGATTAAAAGTAAATGGATAGTGAAAAGGATACCATGCTAACACTAATCAAAAGAAAGCAGGAGTAGCTATATTAATTTCAGACAGAGCAGACTTCCAAGCTAGGAAAGTTATTAAGGATAAACAAGGGCATTACATAATGACAAAGAGGTCAATTCTCTAAGAAGAGACAACAGTCCTTAACATGTATGGGCCTAAATAACAGAACAATGTGTAAGAGACATAATAGATACAGTCAGAGGTTCTAATGTGTATGTAAATGAAGTCTCAAGAGGAGAGGAGAGAGACAAAAGGGCAGAATAATTTTCCAAAACTAATAAAAGAAGCAATGAATTCATGAAACTCAGTGAACCCCAAAAAGACAAAGAAAATCATAGCTAGATATTTCAGCCAAACCCCTGAATTATAAAATAAGAAAAATTTCCAAAGCAACCAGGAAAAAAAGGTTATTTTCCAAGGAACCACAATAATACTGGCAGTGACTTTTCAACAGCAAGTATGGAACCCAAAGACAATGGGATGGCGTATTTGACGTACTGAAAGAACAAAAATTGCCAACCTGGAAATTCTTTATCCAATGAAATTATCCTTTAAAAATTAAGGTGAAATAGCATTTTTTCATACAAACAAAAGCTGATAGAATTTACTGCTAGTAGACATGGACTACTAAGATTCAGCTAAGGAAGTTCTTGAGGTAGGAGGAAAATGATCCAGATTGAAGCACGGAACTGCAGGAATGAATGAAAAGCACTGGTAAGCCTAAATATGTGGGTGAGTATAAGAAAACACTGATGATTAAAAACAACAGTAATAACTTCCTTGTAGCATGCATAATATATGAAAATTCAAATATATGGTAATAATGGGATAAAGGGTGGGAAAGGGGTAAATGGATTTAAACTTGTACTAGCAATGATTGAAAAGTAGTAAAAAGTTCTAATTTAAGAGAAACTAATACTTCAAAGATGCACATTGTGATATCCAGAGTGACAGTTAAAAGAATAAAAGAAAAAGGTACAAGCAAAAAGCCAATATAGGAGGTAAAATGGCAT